TAAATATTTTGCAAATATATACTGCTTTAGGGGTATAAAAAAACAATATTTAATCATGGTAGTCACAAATGCTTTATTCTTCACTAATAGGCCTGAAGGCTAGATGGAAAAGATAAAAATAACTGGTAGTCAAACTATTTCATCGATTTTTAGTTATTAACACGTTGAGCACCGCGTCAACCACCGGGGGCTGACACTGAAATTACATTTAGGCAGCGTCAACCACCGGTGGCTGACACCGAAATTACATTTAGGCTGCGTCTGCCACCGCTTGCTGACACTGACCTTTCACATAGGCCGCGAAAAACAGCTGGCTCACAGCGTATAACATGATATAGAACAATAAAATTTACAGTCTTTTATGGTATTGCAGAAAATTTATTTAAAATTTACGTAATTATTTTGATTCTTGGTTTAATAAATTCAATTTAGTAGATTTTTATCCACCACTATTTTTAAACAATTCGTAGGCATATGTAATTCAACACTTTTTTTCTGATATGTCATACTAATTCTATTATAAACTAGCAAAATCTGTCTATATTTGCAAATTTAGTTTGTAGTTATTTACCGTGGCCAGATGGGCAAGTCATGTAAAATTAGCGTGGCGTTCAACGTGCTAACTATTCAGTAGAAACTCAATTTTTTTTTATTTAAAATCTCTTTAATTTACCAATCGTAACTACCACTTTGATTTTCAATTTAAATAAATTATTTATATTTAACTCTTACAGATTCTACGTTCCTTTGATTTGAGCTCTAGCTGCATACAGGGTCGGTGTATTGACCTAGGCGCCTCATTAACCCCAGGCTAAAGTAGCCACCGTGACACTGCTACCCCACTCAGATGAATGAGTTAGGGCCCCTTTGGGGCCGATACTTAGATACCCACCTCACATAGGCATAGATTCTACGTTAAATAATAAACTGAAACGGAAAATATTTTAAAAACATTTTTGAATTCTATTTGTCACCTTTTCAGTTTTTTTGTCCCCCGTTGCAACTCTGAAATTAAGAAGAGTGTACTAAATCATATTATCCCAACATTAGAGTGTCATGCGAAATATATCAGCCGAAATTTAAAATAACCTCTTCTAAAACTTTTATCAAGACTTCAGAACATAATTGGTCCTAAATCTGATCTTAAATTTATGTTTTTAAAATGTTTATAGGTTAGTCATGGATAATATTATTTTAATTAAAATTTATTGAAACATTAATGCATTACATATTTTAACTACCATAAAAATTATTTTTTGAAAATACGGAAATTCTGTAGACATGACATTATTGTAACATGATTTGGTAGTGACAATTAATATCTTCATACAAGACATTAATTGCCTCTACCAAAAAGCATGTTACATTTATTTTAAACATTTGCCGGTCTGATACAAAAGAGAAAGACTAGCAGTTAAACTTTTTCAAACATACTTTTTCAGGATGAGTAAATTATCTACAGGGCAGCCAACTTTCTACTCTTTTTGTTAAAATTTATTCTAAAAGTATCTAATTTATGATTTAATGTAATATTTTTCATTCATTTTGACTTATTTTACACACATATAAATGATTTCAAAGTTCATATGCATCGCCACTTCGTTCCAGTTCTATCGTGATAAGGCTTTTAAAACGTTGGCAAATTATCAAAATTTCTGAAAGCTTTGGTTTTTAAATGTCTACCGCTCCATTAAATATTTTACAAATCGCGTAGTAGATGGCAGGTGTGTATCTATACTTAATCGGAAAATTTCTCACAAATAAATACGCGTTTTAACTGTTGGTAATTCATTATAGTTAAGGATATTTTGGTTATCTCTAATACAAGCGAAAATGAAATTGTTTTATTACCAGTTTTACCTTTCCACCGGCAAAGTCACAGCTTGTTTTTAGTGGATTTCTTAAGTTTAGTGCGATATAAAATAGTAATAGCAGATAAATATGCTACCACTTTTATGGGGGCTATAACAAAATTCTGCTTTGAAATTAATTCGGCAAAAAGAGATTTAAATACTTTCAATCACGAAAAGTTTCGGGCTTCCAAAAAATGCGGTTAATGAGCCTTGCTAGATCCGTCCATAAACATCAAAGCAAAAGTGTTATTAAAAAAATAATTGATCAGCTTTATGAGAGCAATTGCATTTTAACCCTTTGTACTCTGATGTCGCCTCTGAGGCTTCATCAACAGTCACCACTCTAAAATAAAAAATTTTATACGTTAACAATTAGAAACATCATTAGTTTAAGAATTTTAAAAATTGCATAAAAATACAACATTTTGTTGTTTTAATTGATTTAAAGGTTACATTTGTTCAAATAGTGTTTAGTAGTACTCGGAGTGCAAAGGGTTAATTTTTAGTAGGGTGTCTACTTTGACGATCAACTCCTATAAAAACAAAAATCTAAAATAATTTAAAATACTCATGGTGCATAGGATTAAAAGTCTGGGTTTATTATTTAAAATAGAAATTTTGCGCCATGTCCAGCTTCTTAATCGGGAATTTTAAGAATTTATGGAAAGCTACTTTATTGCAGTTATCTCGTAGTGACACTTATAAAAAGTGGGCCGTAATTATCCTTATTCAACAATAATTCGAGTAAATTTTTAATATTTTTATATTATTATCGTTATTAAAATGGTTTGAAGAAATTAATGCAATATAGAACACACAAAAATAATTTTATTTATATGTACGGAAATGCCAACTTGCTCCGGACAGCGAATAAAAACTTTCAATTGGTAGTTTATTAATTGTGTTTCTTGATCTAATAAGTTCTATTGAGTAGATCTTTATCCGCCGCTATTTCTAAACAATTCGTAGGCTTATATAATTCACCACCATTTACAGATTTGTCATGGTAAACCTTTTGAAAAACTAGAAAAATCTGTTGAATATTTGCAAATTTAATTGGTAGTTATTTACCGTTTAGCCAGGCGGGCAAGCCGTGTAAAATTAGTGTGACATTCAACGTGTTAATCCAACGCCTCCTATTGTCAAATGTTGTTAATACAATTCTAATGGAACACAAATAGTTCTTTCATATTCATTTTATTTACAGTATTTACAATGAGATTATTTCTGGATTAATATAGTTCATCTTTTAAGCATAACAACTCTTTAGCTACACAGCCATTGCAACAACAACTTATATCAAAGACAACAATCAATCAATAATGGTACTGTTGCCAACACCAACTTACAATGTACAGAATTATCATGACATCCCCCTTTTTACGTTATACAATTATACAACATAATCATTTAAATAAGATGGTGACTTACGAACACGATTACTTTTTCTTTGCACATTACTATTTGATATATGACAATTCTGTGAGATTTGAGAATTTGAAGAACTGTTTAAATCAGCTTGGGAATTGCTAATTATATCATCATTAGGATCTATTTCAATTTTAAACTTTGTATTTGACTGTCTTATGTGTTTTCTGTTACGCNTTTTATCCGCCGCTATATCTAAACAATTCGTAGGCTTATATAATTCACCACTATTATATAATTCAGATTTGTCATGCTAAACCTATTGAAAAACTAGCAAAATCTGTCTAATATTTGCAAAGTTAGTTTGCAGTTAATTACCGTTTGGCCAGGCGGGCAAGCCGTGTAAAATTAGAGTGACATTCAACGTGTTAATCCAAAGCCACCACACCACACGGTTTCTTGTAAGTAGTCTGATCAGACTACTATGACAGAGATGCCAACTTGCTCCGGACAGCAAATATATATTTTAAAGTGGTTGTTCATCAATTGTGATTCTTGGTTTAATAAATTCAATTTTGTAGATTTTCATCCACCACTATTTCTAAATAATTCGTAGGCTTATATAATTCACCATTCTACTGTACTTAAGTCATGCAATACCTTTTAAAAAGCCGGCACCTTGTTCGCAGGGTCCGATCCAGGGGAGCCAGAGATCTGTAAGCCTAAGAATAGTGAGCAACCCGGCACGAGCGGTGACTTGCCGGGTCACTATATTAACAATAACACCAATGGTTTTGTGCTACCTAGATTACCCCATGTATTATAATGTAAATAATTTCGTATCTATTCAAGTAATTTGTAAATAATTTTGTATATAGTTTATCTTGACTTTAATATTTTTTGCTTATTAATATTATTCATCCTGTAAATAATTAACTAATTAACTGTGCTAGTGCTTGTATATAGTTTTATCTCTTAAATGGAGTCTCTCCAATCCCTTTTTCACTCAATCATATCATTGTACCTTATTCAATTTATGACTACCTAATCTATGCCTATTAAATTTAGATGAATCAGTTAGCGGCGCTTCGCGCCGAATACTGAGCTACTATACATTTCCAACGTTAAAAAGCCGGCAAAAATAGTCAAACATTTGCAAAATTTACTTAGAAGTTATCACCGTTTTTTTAATTATTTTGGGCTGTCAGGAGCAGTTGGCATCTCTGCTATGAAGGTAAACCAATTAGTGAAAGAACAATTTAATATCAAATCTATTAAAAATTAGAAAGTGGTAGCAAATATATGTCAAAAAATTTGTTTAATTTATGAATATAATTGGTTTGTCTTATTGACTTGTCAACCACTATAGATTCAATTCTCAAATATATATGATAAATTTCTCTCAAGTGCTTTT